CTGAAGCCTGACCGCTCCTGTCAGGAAGTAGCTCACTAATAAGCAGAAAGGTCCTGTGGATGAGTCTCTCTAGGGTAAAGGAGGGAGGCTATTGTGTATCTACGGAACTCAGTGTATCATCATCACCCTGTAATCACGATGAGTTTGTTTCCGCTGGTCTGAGATTAATGCTCTACTCTGCAGTAACTGCTACATCAGTGCTTTGACTGATTCATAGAGCATACATGATCATGTGTCATTCCACATCCTCACGATATACATTTTAATATATTTGATAAAATAGTAAATGAAAAAGTCTTTGATTTTATTATTATTATTATTCTTTTTCATTTTTAATTTAATTTAGAAGTATGAGTTTATAACTATGAGTAATGAGTCTTAACACTGTACACATTAGGACAGGGCAAAATAAAATAAAATAAAATAAAATAAAAATATTTTTGAATTGATTTATTTTACATGGAACACAATAGGAGAAGTTTCACAGATTGTTCGTGCTCTTGTTATGTTCTGCTCTTTGTCATTCAGTGAATGGGGACTAAGGCTGATGAGCAACAAAGTGGAATAAAAAAAACATAAAAATAGTCCATATGACTTCATTTTTGGTCTGTCTTTGACACAAAACTATCATATAGTATAAGTGCTTTTATTAAATGTTATTATTTTTTAAAGTTATTCACTTATTAAAAATTATCTAAAAATTACACCTAATAGATCAAACTGACATAAGCAAAAACTAAACTAAACTAAAAATTGTATTTAAAAAATGTAGAATAAGGATATGCAAACATAAAATACAGACCTGCATTTATAAGACATGAATTTATTTTAAATCATTTTAAAGATCTCAAATAATTATATTAAATAATTTTAAATAAAACAAAACAAGAAATAAAACTGGCAAATTATTATTAAAAAATCCAGGCGTTTCTTTGCTTTTCCTTAAAAACTTGTATGATAAAATCACCAAGATCATTAAAAGCAATGGTGATCTAAAAATATCAAAATGAACTTAATTTTGTGTCTGGTTCAGACCTTATGTGCATAACAGGTACCGCATAACAGGAATTACCCTCATTGTCACTCTCTTCCTCATATAGGTGTGTACAGAAGCAAATTTAACATGATGTCCCAGCACAAACATTCTCCGTATCAGGGCTGAATGTGCTGAAGTCACACTCAAACAAAATGGCACAATAATAGGCCCATTATGTCATGTGTAGCAGTGCAGTGGCGCAGGCCGAGGCGAGGAGAGAGTGGGAGGGAGGGCGGAAACAAAAATGAGTGAGCGAGCATGTAAATGACTGAGTGAGAGAGTGAGGGAGTGTGTGCTCTGACTGCACGCTGAGGGCCAGATCTGCACATCCTGTGCTCTGTTCCGCTCACATTTCACATGACCTGAGAGGATGTTGAGCAATCAGCAGTCTCTGCAGAGGTACAGTATAAATACACACGTATTCACATTCACAAGATCAAAAGCGCCTGTGGAACGCACACATGCAGTAAAAAGAACATATGGACACATGCATGTCCACTATAGCCCACATGCACATGCTTTAAAAAAATCAATAAATAAATTAAAATGAACATCTGGACATTGCCTTGAATACACACCTTCCAAGACTATTTTCCATGAGCAACAAACCTGGCGGCACTCCCAGCCGAAGGCATCCTCTTTCATACAAACACACGCATTATGCTGACCTACTCTCCACATATCTCAGCAAGTGGGTAATTGACATCAAATTTCAATCAGTGATGGAGAGTCCTGTGGTATAACACACTATATTTAATCTAAAACTATTTGAAGCATTTTTATTTCTAATCTTTGTGCATTTATTAGTGGTGCATGCAGAAATAAGCATTGCTCATGCTTAAGGATCACAACTATCCCCTAACACTAAATATAGCATAAATCATCCTTTACCATTTATGCCACAGACACAAAAGACACTTCAGATTATGAGGAGAGATGTGCTATTATTTTTCTAAGCAATATAATTTATTATTTATGATCCCATGGGAGTTGATAAAACACACAAAAAAAGTTTTAAACATTTCAAGTTTTAAAATAAGGAAAACATACACTTAATATGTGAAATTAAACTAAAATAAAATAAAAATAAGAATGTAAGAAATGGGATATGCAAAAGTATAATACAGTAGTAAACAGAATACCATTGGCCAACACTTGGCCAGAATACAACATTTTATTGGTGAATGTTAATTTAATTTAAACAAATTAAATTAAATTAAATTAATATATAACTAAAAGGTAATATATTAAAAAATATTATTTCAGGTGCTTCTTCATGTTTTTCTTTTAAAAAAAGAGAGAACGGAAGAAGGGTGATATCAAAAATTCAAAGGTTGTTTAAAAATATAAAAATAGCTTTCAACAAAAGCACTACACACACACTTTCAATGTTCAAAAAATACAATACAAAAGCATGATGTTGAAAAACAAGTGAAACAAGTGATATTTATTTTGATATCTGCATTCCATAATCACTCCGATCTATTTAGAATTTAGTGTTTAAAAAATGTCCTATGATTACAGATTAGATTACATTACCTGCAGTTTATGTTGTATGGAATAAATGCGAGCCTGTCTACAAAGCTGCAGTATGTGCAGATTACACAATAGTGTTTGTGCATGTGGAGATTTCTCCAGCAGGCCAAGGGCTGTGTTTCGGTTGACTACAAATAGTTTGCTGATTGTTTCTCAGTGAGAGACTTAACGCTTCTGGCATGGTCCCACACTGAAGAAGGAAATACAAATCATGACCTCACCCACCAGTTATTCCCCACATGCCATTTACATTGATGCGGAGCATATAATAATGTTGTTTTGCCTTTCAAGATGCCAGCATAAATGCTTTATACAGCCCAGTGACAATGAGCAGGAGAATACAGTCACGTTCGTTAGAAATTGAAAGTTTAAAACTCGATAAATCATGCCTTATGGATTATGTCAGATAGTTGAATGAGTGCAGACAAAGGCTAGATCCACAAACCCGGGAGGAACTTGGGAGGAAGAACATCAAATGAAAAGGACACAACAGCATGACAGCGACAGGGAAATGTGACATGTTTAAACAGTCAGGCATTGTGTGGCCTTAACCCACAGGACACAAACCCCAGCAGGGAGGACAGAGTCTTAGGCAATCCTGACTCAATGGGCCATGACAAAGATGGCTTTGTGAGAATGCAGGACACTCACGTATTGTGTGAACACTACGGAGGGTGCATGTGGTCTGAAGCAGCACTGAGGTGGTATTCAGGTTACAGGGGGCACCACAGAGAATAAAATACACCGCCCAAACAGACCTAAAACTCCATCTTCTTGTCATCAGACACCACCCCACCTGTTTCCCCACAACCACCTCACATTTTCAACAATAGCTCCAATGATAGGCGCCCTCCCTCACTTCGTCTTCACTGTCTTCGTCGGAGGAACGGGGAAAATAAATAGTTTTTCTCCAGAACAAACAGCAACCTAAAGATAGTTCTTCAAAGGGAACACTCTGTGAAGAACGCACTGTGCGCTAATTGAGATAATAGCCTGATGAAGGGTACGTGAAGTCTTACTGCTAATCTTTTATGTGGGAGGACTATCGAGCAAAGGCAAATAAATACATCTTGTCTTGGAAAACAGGTGCCTTCCTGCAGTGGTAACACATGGTTATGCAATATGGTTAACATGCAATAATTTTCATCAGTCAAGATTTGAAAGTTTTGTTTATATGAACCCTAAACATTGCAACCTGATTAAGATTTTCATTTACATGTATTTTAAACAAACTTCAGATTATTGACTTTAAGATTACTGGAGTACATTTTAAAAGAAAATACTTATACAGATGTGTCTACTTCAAAATTTCACATTAAATATTTAAATAACTGCTGACGAGATATTTTTATTATTATTTTTTATATATATATATATATATATATATATATATATATATA